ATATTTTTTTGTCATATAATAACTCATACCACGATAACGTAATGCAAGTGCATTATTTGGCTCAATCCCTAATGAATCTATTAAATCTAAAAGTGATTTATTATATTCCTCAATCATATAATAAGTCATACCACGATAACATAATGCAAGTGCATTATTTGGCTCAATTTCTAATGATTTTGTTAAATCCAAAAGTGATTTTTCATATTCCTTCATTGTATAATGAGTCATGCCAAGATAACTTAATGCTGTTGCATTACTTGGCTCGATCTCTAATGATTTTGTTAAATCCAAAAGTGATTTATTATATTCCTTTCTCATATAATAAATTATTCCATGATAACGCAATGCAGATGCATTATTTGGTTCTATTGCTAATGATTTTGTTAGATCATTAAATGATTCATCATATTTATTAATTTTAAAGTATGTTATCCCACGTAGTGAATAAGCATCAAACCTATTTGATTTCTGTTTTATAGCTAAATTTAAATCATTTAGTGCTTCATGAAATTTATTATATTCTATATATACTTTGGCCCGATAGCATTTTAATGAATAGCTTGTGGGATATTCTTCAAGAATTTCTGTAAGTGCATTAATAGCCGTTTCAAACTCTCCTAATTTATATGCTGTGTTTGCTTTTCTTAAAAATGGGTGAAAATATTTGGGTGTCTTAAAAAAATTTCTTACTGTTGAATCAGATATCTTAAATTTTTGTTGAAATTTGAGTTTAGAGATATTAATTTCTTCTTCTTCACTACTTTCATCAGAAGTATTTTTATTGTGATCTTGAGCAATATTATTATTGTCTTCATGCAAATAATTACGGATTCCTTGATAAATTGCTGACTGTGGTAAATTAATTACAGAATTTAAATCAATTATTTTTCGACATTGTGGGCAAGTTGGTTGGGATGTTTTATTAACAATTCGTTGTAATGCCTCAGGACTAATTAAATGTTCACAGGGTAAGATTTGAAAGTTGTTGGGAATTTGATAAGTTACTGGACAAGATAATTCTTTAGTGACAATATCTGAAATCAAATCATCACTTGGAGTTATAATATGAGGTAATGTTAATCCATATGTTGTAATAACCTTTCCTTTCTCCTTTAAATTATTTATATTATTTTTGTTGGTGTCTATTAATTTTTCATCTTGAGAAACTTTTACATGAATTGCTTCAATCATATGATTCAACTTTAAACCTTCTACTGAATCTAAAGAATGCTTACAATCTTTAAAATCATTTTCAATAATGTTGTAAAGTAGTGTATTTCTTTTTGATAATTTAATTAGAGTTTCTATAGCTTTGAAACGGATAAAAGATGAAGGTGCTTTTTGCAAAGATTCTAATGCTAAATAATAACAAATACCCAATGTTGAATCTCTTTGAGTTTTTGCAATTAAGTCTTGTGCAATATTAAGGGCTCCAAACCATAAAGAATGTGGAAATGCAAGAGGTTCTTTACCTAAGAGATTATTAATAAAATGCTTCTGATTTATAAGATATTCTGATTGAGATATCGGATTTGACCAACTTTTTGACACACAATGCCATAAGCATTCAAGTAATAGACTTTCACCATATTTTAAAGAAAGTGAATATTCTTGAAGAAAATTTTGAATATTAAAGTGTAGTTCAAGTAGTGTTCTCCATTCATAATACCATGAAGAGATTGGATACTTCCAATTAAAGGCTTCATGTAAACATTTAAACAGTAATTCTACACCATTGTCTATGGGTAAATCTGCACCATGTGAAACTCCCGTTTTTACAAGTCCTGGAGCAATACCTAAAATTATACGAAGGATTGATTTTATTCTATTCCATATTTCCAAAAATTTATTCTCATCATCTCTCATACAATGAAGAGTATCTCGCAAGTGTAGCAATAAGAAATCAATATTATAATTACGCTTTCCATCTTTATTAATGTTACTATCATTTGAACGTGGATTAAACTCCTCAAATTTTGATTTAAAAACTTTATTAAAGCCTTCTTCATTAACTTCAGTTGATCGGAAATGTATCTCAGCAAATTTTCCTAACTGAGCATAAATTTTTTTCTCAAATCATGTCGAAGCCGAATT